ATAATTATCATAATATATTTTGTTATTATTATTTATTATTATAAATATTATTATTATTATTATTATTATTATTATTATTATTATTTATTATAATTACTATCATTATTATTTATTACGATTCTTATTATTTTTTAAATAAATTATACCTATTAATATAATTTTATTGTAATTATTATTATTTACAATAAATAATATTCTACTCATTTTTAATTCAAGGATAAAAGTATAAATTACATATTCATCTATTAAATTTTTAATTTTTATCTATCACATCAATCAATTTCTACACAAATTCTCACAAACTTTCCACTCACTTTCCACTATCTTTCTCTTAATCTAAACAACATCACTTTCCACTCTCTTTCTTTTTAAATCTTTCTTTTTCCACTTCTCTAAATCCATCCTTCAATCCAAACACAACCTAAACCTAAAACCTCATTGCCATGCCTACCCGCTAGTGTTCTGCTATCCTCTCAAGTTTCAAATTTTACGAAATGAAAAATCAAATCAATTTAAAATTGAGAAATACTTTCAACCGAATTTTTCTTCATATGGTAATATTTTTATTAAACGACGCATTATTAATAAGATTCTTTAAAGTTTAAATTTGATTTAACCCCAAACGTATGGTTCAGCGATAGAAATTAATTCACGCTTAAACAATCGACTGTGGATAATTCAGAAACGAAAAAAAAGAGTTTAAATTTGATTTGAATCTAAAGTTGTTAATATGTTATTTTTCTTACACCAAAGTTGTTAATATGCTGTGCATGTTTGGATCAGACTCAGTAACATGGATCTAACCTTCTCTATCCCACGTTTCAATATGAAATCACAATTGAATATATTACTTTATTTATAAAATTGGTCAATATAATAAAAAAGAGTTGTGTTTTAATTATTGAAAAAATGTAAATTGCTTTGTACTTTATAAAAAAAAGATTATTTTTTTAGGATTTTCAAGAAAACGATTTGCTCATAAAGGCAGCAATTTTTTTAAGATTTATTTTACATTATTTTTAATTTTTCACATTTTTAGATTAAATATATTTTAATTCTTATAATATGAAATAGATTATTTTCTATCTCTTAAATTTAAAATCATTAATTTTAATCTATATGACTTGAAAAAAAAACATGTAAATTTTCATACTCAATAATCAATACTGTTGGTATCGTACAAAATGAAAGTATTACTAAATTTGTCGCCGTGAAATATATATTAAATTTGTCGCCGTGAAATATATATTATTTTTCCTTGAGAGATTAATACAAGTTATACCTCAATCCTTTTCCATATAAATAGATCTCTTAAAATTGATGATAGAAGTCTCTTTCAATGATTTTTTTTATTATAATTTTTTATAATTTTTTTGCACTAATGTCTTAAGATTTTATAAGTAAAATTTTGTTAAGAATTAAATATTTATTTTTAATATTTCATAAAATAGAATAAATTTTTATATAATTTTATTATTGACTTTAAAATGTTATATAAAATATTTGATTAGCTATTATTTATGTTAAGAATCACCGTAAGAAAAAAAAAATCTTAAATGCTCATTCATATTAAATCTCATATATGACATGTGTTTTTTTTGGTAAAAATATATGACATGTGTTTATCGTTAATAAAAGAATATGTATATTTTGAAAGTGAAAAAGATTACTTTAATCGAAAGTGGAAACCGTAATTTACTCTTTCTAGAAATCATCTTACACTAATAGTGTGTTTGGATGATGAATTTCACAAATTCAAGGAATTTTAAATTCTTGGTATTTGAATTACTTTGATTTTAATTTCTATTATTCTTAAAATATTTTGTTTAGATGAGTCAATTCAAATTTCTTAAATTTTAAATTGTTAGGTTGAATATGATAATTTTATTCCATCATAGTAAAATTGATTTTAAAAATATATTTATATGTTGAGATTTTTAAATTAAATTTTATAAAAATAAATACTAATCCATTTTTAAATATTTATTAATTTTAGAAATTAATATTAGATAATATTTAATAATTTTAACAATTAATATTGAGTAATGTTTAACAATTTTAAAAATATTTTTGAATATCTAATAATTAAAAAAATGAAGAGATAAGATAAAATATATAGGTGAAATAAGAAAAACAAATATGAGGAATTTCAAATTCTCCCATTTTTGGGAGAATTTGAAATTCTACTATTTTAAGGAATTTCACAAATGATTGGATTTCAAATTCTTTGTAAATTCCTCATCCAAACAAAGCATTTCACCTCAAAGAATTTGAAATTCTTCAAATAAATGAATTGCCCCATATAAATTCCTCATCCAAACACACCATAAGGTTTATTTGAAAAAAGAAGAAGAAGAAGAAAAGAAATAGAAGAAAAGGGAGAAAAAGTATGAAAAAGTAAAAAAAAATAAAATTGAAGTGTGTTTGAATGAGAGAAGAGAAGAGAAGTGTAGATATTTTAAGGTGAATAATCGTTTTAAATTTTTTTTTTCTAAAATGAGGAAAAGTGTGAAAATTTCAATTTTTTTTGTAAAAATAGTGGTCAATTATATATGTATATATAAATAATAATAATATACTTATTATTTATAAATAATTTTTTATGAAAAATTGAAGTTCCAACAATAATATTAAGTAAATAAATAAAATATTTTTAAGTAAAAATAATTATAAAAATTAAGCTCGATAATAATAATTATAAACAAAAATAAATTTTATTTATATTTTGAATAAAATTATTTATAAAAAATTAAACTTATCATAATAATAATAATAAATAACGTTTATTTATTATATAAAAATAAATTTATGAATAAGAAATAAAATTTCATTTTATTACCCCTTTTTTTTTTTACTAAATAATCATTACTTTGCTCTATTTTTCTATATTTCTGAATACTTGTTTTCTTTTTTTCCCTCTTCCCTCCGTTCCTCATTACGGAACAAATGCCGAAATAAAGCGATAGGAACAGTTACAAAAATCATTTGTTATCTTTGGAGGTTAGAAATATTTAACTCTTCTTAAAGTTAGATGCTGACTCAGTTGGAGGTGAGAGTATGCACAGAAAACAATGATATTCATGCAAACAAAAAAGCTTCTGTCAAATTGTTAATGTCAGCAACATACCAAAATTGATAAATTTGAAAATTGAAACAAAACTAAATTTATCGTATTTATTTTTATAATGATTTGCAAAGATTTTTAATTAATGATATGTTTGGTAGAAAAAAAATAAGTAAAAAATAAAGTGAAAAAAATAGAGAAGAGAAAAATATTTGAGTAAAAATGGGTTAAAAAAAGTAGAGAGAAAATTTGATTGTTTGGTTAAAAATAAATGTGAGAAATAATATTATTTATGTTTAATAAAATAGAAAGAAATAGGTGAAACATAAAATATATAGAAAAATAAATAAATAAATAATAGAATAAAAATTAAAAAAATATTTTTTTATTAAAAATTATTAATTATTTTTTTATTTTAATCATTTAAAATAAAATTTATAACTAAATAAATAGTATTTGGATTAAATATGTTTTTCATCCTCCAAAAATTGATTCTATTTGATTTAGTTCTTTAAAAAATATTTCTTTGATTTTAGTTTTTTATATTTATATAATACCTATTTTTAATCATTTTTAAACATTGTTAACTTTTGTAATTAAAATAGATTATTTCAACATCAAAATCGTCACTAGTTCTACTTACATGAAACTTTTTTAAGTTAAAATATTAATTATTTATAATTAAATTAAAATTTAGGATACAAACTACTTTTACATTTAAAAATCTTCTCTAATTTCTGCGTTTAACTTGTGTAGGACACATCGTCATACTGAAAAAGTTAGTTTTTGATCTATTTTGCATTGTAAATTAATCCTCCATATTATTCCGTCACTTCATCAAATTTATAAAATTCTTTTTGGTGTGTATTTATGAAATATTTTGCTGACCCTGTAAAGGTACGCGCGAGAAGTTACAGCTGAAGAATGATTATATTGATTTTATTCTTCTAATGTATTTTTTCTCACTTTCACACCATTTTAATTTCCCAGATAAAATTAAGTGTACACTGTATTGCAGTACTTTTAGTTTCAATTTATCAACATAGTTAATGTCGAGACTGAATTTCACTTTCATGCAGAGAAGGAGACTATGGATTAAGTAACTTTACATACTTATAACAAAATCACTCTCAATGGAACTTTAGAATTGAGTTCTAATAAGATTTCCACTAATTACGTATTCAACACGAGAAATTAATTTAATTACGTATTTTTAGTTAAGTAATTTACACCTTTAATACTTAATTTTCTACTGATTAATTTGATTATTTTAACATTTAAATATAAACACTAGTTAAACTTATTAATTACATCTTATTATATTAAAATATTTTAGTTTAAACTTCTTACTAACATATTTTAATACGTTTTATTGATGTGTTATGGTTAACTAAAATAATATATAATCTCAAGCGTGTAGTTCAGCGGTAGGAGTTGATCCACTCTTAATCAAGATCAAGGATTCAAATCCTACCTTGTGTATACAGCCGCATTAAATCTTGGAAGTGGGATACTCCGGGGACGAACCAGAAATAAAAAACTAAAATAATACATAAGCATAAAGTAGCATATTAGAAATTATTTTACATAATAAATAAATAAAAGGATATTAGAAAAAGAATTATCAAGCATATTAAAATATATATTAGAAGCATGCGAAATTATTTTTATGTCTTTCTATATATATATATATATAATTTTAATAATATTCTCACGTGCATAAAGTAGTCGATACGAAAGTGGTATGCGAATGACTTCTTCGTTAGCCATTATTTGTGAAAAATAAAAAGTTTTTTACTTTAAAAAATGAGTAAAAAATAATTGACAAAAGAAAGCAAACAAAAGGAGCAACAAAAAAATTCTTTTTACTTTGTTTATGTAGTGATCATGAGATTGAACTTGTACCCATATTAACAAAAAAATTGAAGAAATAATAAAATTTTGTTCACGTAATGACCCAGTTTGTGTCAACATTCATCTATAAAATTTACAAATAATAACCTCAAAATCAGCTCCCCGATTTCATTCTACTTGATCAAAGAAAAAGTGTAGAGTGTAGACTAAGCAGAAGGGAAATATGCTCTGAATGTTACGAGAGTATTTTAAGCATGTAGAATAGACTCTGACGTGTAAACTTTTAAGCTTATATAGTTACATGAAATGTATAAGAAGCACCTTTGATTGAGAGTCGTCAACAATTAGATTGTCTGAGACAGACCAATAAACTTCAGTCCGTTCAAGAAAATTCAGACTTTCCATCCTCATCAAAACTCTGGTGTGTCTTAATTTCGTGATGAAAGTGAAAAATGCAAACACTCTATACCAACTTGGAGCATGTAATGTGTTAGTTTAAGATGACTGAGCAAGCGTTATGTCAGAAGCTGAAAGAGTACCAGAATCATCAACATCAAGCTCTTCAAACTCCTGCATCACAAGTGATATATCTTCTTGACTAATCTTCCCCATCTCTTTGAGCTTATAAATAACGAATTCAGCAGCCCTGTGAGAAACATAACACAACAAATAAAAATGAATGAAGCCATGTAAATTATTTATAAGATAATAATATGACTTTGAAAGAATGCTCAACTAACCCAACAGTTCCGTCCTCATCAAGATCTGCAGCCTCCAAATCTAAATGGGTCATTTTCCTAGTAAGAACCCACTTGACAAGTTCCTTTTGTCTGCTTTCAGTATTTAGCTCAGCCATGTAAAGGAAAACCTGAGCTAAACAAATAGTACCTGTTAATATCCAAAACACAGCAAATATTCTTCCTGCTTGAGTTGAGAAACTTTTATCCCCATAACCAAGGGTTGTAAATGTAGAACAAACACAGTAGAATGCATCAACAATATCCAATTTCTCAACAGTGACCAGAAAAATTGTCCCCGCAATGATGAGAATCCAAACAAGGAAAAAGACCAGAAAAAATTTGTATCTTGTTTTATTGGTCTCAAGCTCCTTTAAAATTTCAGTTGAACCAACCTTTTGGTGCATGCGCATAGCTTTAACTAGCAAAAATTCCTGTTTCTCAACCAAGTAGTCTGCTGCCTTGCTTAGAATTAGTCCCATCAATGCCATTCCAGAGAAAACAAAAGCACATGCAAGTAGTTTTGTAAGGTCGCTATTGGGAACAAGATCTCCATATCCAACAGTCGTCATTGTCACAATTGTGAAGTATAAAGCATCAAGGATTCCATCTGTTTTTAACCCCCTAATCTGGTTCCTGACAAGGTAGAAGATTAAAGCACCTACACCTAAATAGACTACAAGGTAGATAGCAACTCTTTTAAAGCTTGGGTGTACATTCTGAAATATAGAGACAGTATGGGGAATTGGTTCATTGCCATTTGTCTCAGCAGGAACACAATCTGTTCCAGGAGCACTTCTAGAACGGAGGAGCCTCCTCTTGTTTAACCGCCATTTAGCCTTTTGTGTCACATCGGGTGATCCTGACAACAAAGGCACCTTTACACCATTGTTGGCCATGCAGATGAATTTAGCAGACAAGGATCGGTAATATAGGACCTGATTCAGTTGCAAAACAATTCAAACTAGCAACGTCAGTTAAATAAGAAAGGAATGTACGTGAACAACCATAAGTCATTAGACTTGAAAGTAAAAAAAAAAAAAAAAAGATGAAGCATATTATAAAATATAAATTCATACGAGCTTCACTGAAAAAATAAACTTGTGTGTTCAAATATAGACTAGAATAGGTGTCATGCCAGCGATCAGTCCAAATTCTAATTCCAAGTTCCAACTAACTACTACAAACACTGTTGGGATGCAAGGAAAGTCTCACATCGTTCAAACAAGAGGATGGACATGAGTTTATATACACATAATTGTCTCCATTGGTTGAGATGCCTTTTGGGTGATGTCTAAAAGTAAAATCGTGAAGACTTGGGCTCAAAACGGATAATATCTCACTAATGTCGAGACATGTGTATGTGTGCGGTAAACGCTGGTGCTCAACAAACACAAAATGAACTCATTTGGATTGATCATCACATACAAACAATATGGATCTCCTGAATTGCATGCCTTCATTCGAAGAAAAGGCAGAAAATGCATCCTAACAGGCCTTAAAAGTATCATAATAGCATCGAAACACAGTGACTTTGCACACAAGGCTCTAGATGCCCGAATAGAGCAAACACAACTAATCAACAAGGCCTTCTTACTTGCACTCAATTTATCAGCCTCAGAAATAAAACACTTCAAATTCTAATGAAAATTCCATCAACCTAGTCACATGAACATTCCTAGTCATGCCCTCGGTATGAATAAATAGAATAAAAGGGAACTGAAAACGTAAGAAACCTGAAGTCAAATAATTTTGAAGAGCAAAAACAACACAGCTTTGAAATAAATTCCAATTTCTTTGCTCAGTCCATTAGTCACCTCAAGGAATTTAATCTTGCTAAGTATTTTCCTCTGACAATCATCCAAGAGAAAAAAAAGACAGTTCCGAACAACAATAACCCAAAATTACACACACAAGTCGAGATCTATGCCTTCAAAATGGCAACTTGCAAGAGCCACCAGAAATAAATAAAATATGTTTCAAGATCACAACCTAAAAGTAAAAAAAATCATTTATTACTAAGAGTTAAGACAGTAGTGATAAATTAAATTTGGGAGAAACTAAACTAACAAAGTGGATCTGAGTTGAGGACAACAGTTAATACTTCAAGGTAGACCATGTGAAAGAACTGATAGATTTTGAGAAATACATAGCAGCAGTGCTATACAAGTACATCCTATTCCTGACACACTCTTTGCAATGAAAAGAAACTTAGAGAATTTATAGGTCATGGATGACTAAACAATAACAAGGAGAAGAGAATTCAAAGGAAACAATAAGCAGTGGGAATTCCAATATAAATCTCTGACCTTTCAAGTGGTTTGTTGTTTGTTGCTGCAGGAGATGACTGTGGCTAAGGCTTCTCCTAGCTTCTGATTCAGTGGAAGTGGATCCCATTTGATCTACTGTCTGAATCATTAATCATGAATTCAGTTCCGCGTTAAGCATAACTTGTTTATTTAATAATCAAATAAATAAATGGATCATTTTGAAAAGGACAAAAAGTTCCCAATTCCTGTATATGCGGCCCACTTGGCAGTTCTTCTTTCAAGTTCCAACTATATTGACTTCTGGTTGCTGCCAGAATAGAAAAAGGAGGTGCTTTCCCACCGATTCATCTACGGGTGTAAGTAATTAGATTTGATATCATTTATTTTTTTAGTTGCTTCTAATAAGGTTTTCTATAATGCTTTTAAATATTTTTCAAGTTATTCATTTCCCAATTATTTTCAGTAGAAAATTTTAATATATTTTCGAGTACTCTGATTTCTATTACAAAACTATTGTATCTTTCATATCTTTTACAAACATAATTTATAGAAAAATTTCTATTTTTTTTTATTCAGTAGCATATGAGTATAAAATATAATATCGTATTTTAATATCTTCAAATAAAATTAATTAAAATATTATTATTAAATATTTAAAATTACTTGTAAGAAATGATATTATCAAAATTATTATACTTATTTTATATATAATAATTTAAATTATTTTTACTTCTCCAAATTTTATTTTCAAGTTTGGTATTTGCAAATTCAGATTTAATCTATGGTATTAATAAATATAATAAATTATTTTTCTCTCATATTTTTTTTATTAATTTTTTTTTGTAAAAATCTCTGTAATTCTTTAAACTTTAAATATCCCAAAGTATTGTTGTACACAATATGTCAAGAATTTAAATCTTTGAGTGGAGAAAGATTAGGTAATTGGGACTTAGATTTAATCTTTATTACAATTATTTTTGTAATATTTTTTTTTAAATATATATATATATATATATATATTTATATATATATATATATATATATATAAATAAAGAATTTGGTAGTTTTAGGAGAAGAAAGGGGCGGTAAAGTTGAGCGATTGCTTCAAAACCAAATCCTCCATTCAAAACAAGTCAAGTTGTTCATTCAAACGTTCATATATTAAGATTAAAAATCAAAGAGGGAGAAGAGGAGAGGCTAAAAATGGAGGGAAAGAGGATGAGGATCCAATCGGAGTCACAACCACAGAGCGTGATTCTACTCACCAAAATCAAAGGTTACCAAACCATTCAAATTCATTTTCGCTAAACCCGGTCAAATCATTCATCACATTCAACTTCAATCCGGATTGAATTGCTTTGGCTGCATTCGCAGATTTCACTCGAGCTTTGCTTTCAGACCTAACCAACCGACGCTCACCGCTCATTCTCATCGATCGCTTCAGAAGTTACTGCACCCTTCCCAACTCCAACTGGTTGCGTTCCAATCCCAGCTGATTATTTACCGTTTCACCTTTTTTGTTCTAACGTAATGTTTCGCAACGCAGCTTTTGTGCTTCCGATTGTCCGTGCGGAAAGGAAATTCTCACACTCAGCAGAAAAACTCACGCGCACAGACTAGGTCACTCTCCTTTTAATTTTCACGAGTTTGAGTTATTAAGCATTTCTCTTTTGGTTATTCTTTAATTATTTAGGAGAGATGAAACTATATACACGATTACAGTTATGATACTCTCTGTTTTGAATCTGTTGATGAGTTTGTTTCTGTTTTCATGTTCCGCTTTCAGTCGTCATGTTGAGAGTGCTGCTGATAGTTCAGAAACTTCTGCAAGAGAACAAGCATAGTTCCAAGAGAGACATTTATTACACGTATCCTTCTGTATTTTTAGGCGAGTCTTTCAATTTGCTCAGTGAATTATATTCTTTACTGTAAATTAATTAACTAGACGATGAATGAGATCCATTGGTTGGAAGTAGAAGTTGAGTCGAGTTATATTGATGTTTGAAATCGAAACATAAGGTGAACGGTTGCCACAAATTATGCAATGCAATGTAGTATAGTATGCCATATTGGAAGATGGAAATGCCTTTTGCAATCTCGAGTGATTCATTACTATTAGTTCATTATGGCTTCAGCTTCAACAATCTGGTTGTTATTATAGGTTGATGTTGTATTAGAGTTCTAGGTTACCATTGAGTCATTGACTAAAGCGTGATTGTTGTTTCTCTACTGCTGCATGGTTGAAATCAAGTTGTTTGGTTTTGCAAGGTGTCATTCTAGTTATACATTTGTCCTCAAGTATAAATAAATAAATAACTCAGATGTTTTCTTATGACAAAAATTTGCAAAAGGTTACCACAATTCTTCGTTATACTTGGGTTTTAACTTCTAACTTCTCACAAACTTGGACATAAGGTTGTTTAAAAGTCAGTGCCATGATCTGTTAAAAGATTTATGGCAAAGGTTCAACTTCCCCACGACATACTGACATTTTTTTTTTCATGTAATCTATCTTTTGTTTGCACAATACAGATCAGTCAATGGTAGACCAAGCAATTAATGATATATGTATTCTGATGCAATGCAGCCGCCATAACCTTAATGTGGTAGTTTTTTGCACTATCGTTTTTTTGCCATTTTTGAGTTTGGCTCTTGGGGAATAAAACTTCTGAGTTTCTGATATGCTTCTTTTGCAACTTATTTGTTTGAAACAGAAAGTTATCCATGCTCAATGTTTGGGACACTTAAACTTTTTTTCATTTTTATTCTTTTGTAGGTTTCCGCAGGGAATGGGTACAATATGAGATCACACTCAACCTTGGAAAATGCACTTTGCTGCCAGAATTTTCTTAATAATAATAATAATAACAGTCTTATTTTCACATGTTATACTATTTTATGAATGTGTGTACTTTCTTGTATAAAATGAAACCTCGCCACTGATGTGTCTAAAAATTGTTATGAAGTTTAAAAAGGACACGCATTTTTGATTTCCTACTTTAGAGTTATGAGATCCCCTGTTTCATTGATATTATAACTGACAGATAGTGAGAAACTACGATTGCAATAAACGTACAATAATAAGGTTGGCATATGTCATATGTGCCATTTTGTCATCGAAATTCTCCAATTCTGCTGCAGTAGTAATTATTAATTAATTTTCTTAAAGCTGATAATTTTGCCTTCTATTGAGTTCTTCATATTATAATGACGTGTTCAAATGTGTTTAACTGGTAAGTTGTATAACTTATGGATCAAATTTCTGTAGGTTAATTATGGGCTGGATAAGATTCTCTGAAGGAGAAAGGATATATGACTGCATCAGTTCTCCTAACACTGTAAGAACTGAGAACTGATCTTAATGTAATAATTAATTTTTACCATTTAAAGTATATGCAGACATCTAACTTTTCTGCAGGCCCACCCTGTTCCTGTTTATGTTGAAGAAGTTCAAGGTATCCTAATTTCTGGGTGAATATACTGCAATTGTTTAGTTTCCTTATATTTATATCGGTACTTCATATTAACTTAAAATACTAAGTGCTTAGAAATGGGGAGAAACATTGCTTAACCTTGTGCATAGATATTATTAGTGTTGCTCATTACATTTTAGTTGTCGAGAAAGAATCAGGTAAGCAAATACTTTTGTTTGGAGGAAAAACGCAGAAAAAAATGGAGATTCTTCCCTGACATACTTTCTATTGAAAAGACTGTCCATGGTGAACTTCACTTGTAGTTTTCCAAAGACTAGCAAATGACCAATTCTGCAATTCAAATCACTGTATTGTCATCACCGTAAGCAATCTTCTGAAGACATTAGTTTCTTTTGCAACAATATTTCTTTGTTTGAATTCTATCTTTATACAGGGAAGAGGCTACCCAGATATTCCTACAAGAAGGTGTGGATTTTTTTTTCACATGCTTAAGATGTTATGCTATCAAGCCATATACCGGCTTGCCTTTTCATATTGTATTGTGAATGTGTCTGTTTATGAGCACAATTAGGAATTTACACGTTTGGTCTTTCTTTGATTTTTTGCTTTTTGTATCCTAACAGGTTTTTGCGGCTTCTAGTTGACAATTTGCGCCTGCCTGTTTATTGCTTGGTAGATTGTGATCCCTATGGCTTTGACATCTTAACCACTTACAGATTTGGTTCAATGGTTAGTATTTATAAGTTTATCAATTCAGAAATACATCATGTACATCATTATAGGGATCTGAATATAAAATGTACAGGATCATTGACTGGATTGAATCTCTGTAATGGCTGGGTTAAAAGTTTCATATCCTGACTGACTAATCTATTCCCGCCGATTATTTAGCAAATGGCTTATGACACGAAACATCTTCGTGTCCCAGAGATACACTGGCTTGGAGCTTTTCCTTCAGATTCTGAGAGATATTCTGTTCCAAAGCAGTGTCTCCTTCCTTTGACTGCTGAAGGTAAATAAGGATATTACTTGTAGTGCGTCAGATCGACCTAGTTACATATCTGACCTAATTACGGTGCTCTCAATCTTCCTTTTAGACAAAAGAAAAGTTGAAGCCATGTTACTTAGATGCTACCTTCAAAGGGAGGTGCCACAATGGAGGTAATGTTCACATACATTCCAAGGCATTTGTCTTTTTCTTCAACTGGAGTGAGATTGTATGCTGTCTTGTCTTATTGTTGCTTATGAAGGTTGCAGCTAACGTTGATACTGCAAAGAGGAATAAAGTTTGAGATTGAAGCCTTATCTGTGTACGCACTTTCATTCTTGTCAGAGTCTTACATACCATCTAAAATTGAAGGTAAATTGATGATGTAGCATGTTTGACATTTTATGTGTCAAGCTCTATACAAACAACAGGACTGCGGCATAATCAGTACATGCCATTAATTACGCTTTCTGGGAGATTAAGTATCCCTCTTAGGCGAAGACCATTGTTTGGTCTTTGTAGGATCTTAGGGACAATATTTGTCTACCCAATTTTGAAGGTTTTATGAAACATTCATCGAGAAAGAAAGGTTTTATAAACAATAAGGACTTTAATTGCCATGCACGGTTACTCTAACACAGTAGAATTTATAGTTGATATGATTTTTTAAAGATAGATATTATAATTTTATTATATATAGTGAGTTGCGATTTTGTGTACCTTTTTTTTCGTCTACACATTGTTTGCTACAATTTGGCATTCATGTTGATTTTAAGGGAATTCTAAAATTAGTTTTTTTTTAAATTAATTCAAATATTTATTAAAATTATTATAATTTTATAGAAATTGATTTTTCAGGCTTTTTAAGATATAAAATCATTTGCTAAATTATTATAATTATTTTTATTTAATATTTTTTATTTATCAATAATAAAGTCAATTTGTTTAATCCATTTCGTTTTTTTTTACTTTTAAATTATCGCATTAAATAAGCAAGACATAATAAAAAATGTATAAATTTCATATACTTCCAACCAAATATTGTGCTCGACTTGTAGATGCTTGTAACATATAACAGTTAACAGAGACATCAAATCTCATTGTCGTCTCCGTCTAGTTTCTCCTACCCAAAAAGGAAAGGAACCAAACTTAACTTGCTAGTTTAATATTTCTTTCCACATATAGTCATGAAAGATTTTCTTTATATCATGCGGGGTTAGTTTTCTTTGAAGATTGTGACCAGACATTAAAATATCTAGCACAGATAATAATTAGTTGCACATATGCTAGTTTATTGAAAGAAATTGTATTTCTATAATAAATTTATACAAATTTTGGTATAACAAAGAGGAAAAAAAGTGTGGAACCAAGACTCTCGTTAAAATACAATATGGCTGTTGAAGCATTATCTTAAATCTTGAAGAATGCAAATGTTGTGGATGCAAGTGGCAACAAAAGATTAGGACAAAGAAAACCTAATAACTTTTCCTAGATAATGTGAAGTAGGCCTTTTCACATGCGTTGTTAGAATTAACATCTCACGGAGAGTCTACTGATGCTAGAATTTAGAACATATCGAACACTAATGAATATGTATCTCCGGGGAATCACCTAAAACATAGTTACTTTCAAGAGTCCACCAAAAGATGTCGTGTACATCATGTGTGCACTCCACTTAGATTTCTTTTCATGTATTTGCTTTCAAGTGCATTATTGACATAAAATCTGTGATGTAAATAAATTGCAAACATACAGCTCCCATTTCTCATTCTCTCTAATAAACTAACTCAATTTTCAAGGGGCTAAGCCACCGGATTAGAAGACCCCACTTCATTATTTTGAGTATAGAAATGCATTATTGGTATTGAGGGACAATCTCATCGACTGTCATCGTCAATGTGATTCATGCATACAACTTAATATGCTTAGTTTCACACATCAAAAGCGACTTCTTCTAAACCATGCTAATCAATAATTTATATGTTAGAGGCACCCTTGCCACATGATATAAGCGCTCACGTGGACGCTCATCTGCCCTTTTTTATGTAACAATATGTGTAACTTTCCTTATTCTTCATCTTGGATTTGCTTTCTTTGTATTATTGCCTTATTTATGCATGCATGAATCAGTACTTTGTAGGACACAAGGACAGTGGTTTTTATCTAGAAGGGAGATATCTTAAGTTAGACTTTACTAGTATTATGTAGCTTTTGTCTCGTGAATTGGTCCCACCAAGTTTGGCAGCGTCTTTCCAGACCACACCGACCTTGATATCCGCTCTAAAGGGGGGAAATATCAAACAAAACATTTCAATTTCGAGATTGACTTCACTTTGGTAGGGAGCGATCCACTTGGGACTTAACTTCATTTGATCCAAATCCATTTAAGGAAGTGAAAATGAAAGGCCCATAGTTTTCTACCTTATCAGTCTAATGGCATTTATGGATTCTTGGCCATACCCATATGTAAGTCATTGACAAAGTTAGTCGCTTTCAGAAATAAAAACAAAAGTCTCTCTCTCACTCTATATTTTTATGCTGTTATACAGTTATACTTACTGTAGTTGTTCCAATCCTCTAAGTTATATACTATATTCTATATCAATTTAAGAACCCGCTTCAGCGTAAGATTACTATATAATATGGTATGTGATGCCCTCGTTGTCTTTGTACATGAATAGATTGGAAACTTTATTGAGCTCAGAATTTTCATCCCACGAGTTTCAGGCCGTTTAGGACCATACTTCACCTGGTCCTGGCACTGATATGGCATGGACAATAGGTCCAGAACACTGGTAGTGCTAAGTTAAACTTTCGGGGTGAAGTTGCACTTTATGTTTAAGAATATAATGAAGGTGTCCCATCAAGTTTTATTTTTGCTTCCCGTGATATGCAAAAGTGAAACTGAAAAATAATGGGGCTACAAAGAAAAGGAACTGCAGGCTAAAGTTGGTTGATCATTCTGTTCCTAACGGATGTGAAAATATAAGCATTAATAGTTTAATAACACTTTATAAATCCGGCTATGATTATCACTCAGAAAACTTCACATAAGCGTCTGTAATATATTGGTTAATTGGTTATGCCTTCAACTTTAAGTGTATCATGTTTCGTATTAACATTCAGTACATAAGCAAACTAATCCAGGATCTACTCAGGTTTGAGATCTGCGCTAAGTTTTTACTTATTAGTTAATAATAAAGAAAACCTTCCCAAATATGGGAACTCCTAATTCTTCGGCTCCTTAAATTTCTGTATCAATTCTTTGAACCTTAAAGTGAATCAATTATATATTCCTGGGCCATCTTCCGATTTGATATTTATGAAACTTCACTTTCATAAGGCCGTCTTATGTTGGATGCATGCAATCATTAACTTGCATTTGCTCCTAGCCACTTTATGAGACTTATCCGTACGTACTTCAATATTTCTAATGCATATATAAAAAGTGAATTTTCCGTGTTTGATGGGAGTAAAATCGAAAAGAATAATAACAAGAGGATATACATTGAGACAAAGTAACATTCGTTATAGATAAATATCAAATAACTATTCCTAAACGGCTAAACAGACAAGTATTTAGAGGTCCTGGTTTTTGGCTTAGTATATATATATATGGTTGTATAATACTTAATCATCATCATATTTTTTTTATAACTATTAAGTGGTACCAAGTGTTCTTACAAAATTGATACAAAAGATCATGGTTTAATATTATTGGAGGAGTGGAAGGAGGGTTTCTGACACAAATAAACGTATAGTAAATTGTATTTATAGTTTTCATGCTTTTCATGCATACAATTCGTACCACTGGGCAATTTTGTTTTTTAGCCTATTTGATCTCGATCATAATTCATAAGCTTAATGAGAAATAAAGTCCACGTATATTGAACAAATAGATATCTTTATATCTAAGTTGAGATTCAACCTTAACAAACAAAATAAAAACAAACTTTTTATTATTTTTATTATAATCAACTCTTATATATTAAATACAAATTTTTATCAAAGGTATTTTTAAGAATTTTTCTTTAATAAGAGAGTCTGTCAAATTTTTATAACCTCTTATTTAATTTAACTTTTATTTATCATAATTATTTATTAATTAAATATTAATATTTTAAAATAAATTATCAATAAATAAAAAATATTTTTACAATACAAATTATTTATAATAAATTTAAAATATAATTTATATGTTTAAAAATATTTATATATACTTATTTTAAATATAATTTACATATTTAAATATAGTATTTTTTATATATAATTTATTATAAATTTTAATTACATACTAAAAATATGTAATAAATATAATTTATATATTTTTATATGTAATAAATATGTATGTGCATTACATACTAAAATACTAGCTTTCTTGAAGAAAAATATCTGATAATATAAACTACCTAAATCCCTTCTTGCTAACTAAAATTATAGTAGCTATAACGAAAAAAAAACCTTGAAAGTAATGAGACATTTCATTTCCGGAGCTTGCTCTTTGGTGCTAGCAACATAGGGGAAATATTAATTAAGATATATATTAAGATCGTAATATGTTTGTACTTTGCTAGTTGATGGGAACAATATCTATATTATCTTTCATAGCTATGAGTGAGTAACTAATGACTGAACTGGATGAATCATATTTGTGATGGTACCATTTGCTCTGGCTAATTTAATCGCAAATCCTTTTCAATTATTTGTGGGAATACTGTCGAATCATACAGAAGAACCATTCGTTCAACCACAGTTTAACAGGTTTTCTTCAAGATGCCACTTGTTAGCCAGACAATGATATAAATATTAATAACCAGACAAGTGGTTTGTATTTGTGGTCTCATCTTTCAACAACTAATTGAACATGTTACCTATAAACATAGTACTGACCCACTTCTTAAATATATATCTTTAATTGTTCTTAAATCACTGGTTTGTTTTCATTCAGATAACTATTTTTCTTTAATAAAACAATTGGAACTATCACATCTAGTCTGAATTAATTTCTCTCTTGCATGTCAAATGACGGCAAATACTGCTGTCATGTATCATTTCGGCTGGAATGATACAACTTCATTTAAATACAAAAATAATGGACCCTATAATCAACCACGTGAGCTTTTACATAATAAAAATTGTTTCCTTTTCACCCCATTATTAATATGATATCCTATCATTTAATAAATCTCCAAAATAAAAATATTTAATAAATAATTTAAGATGTAACAAAAAAATCCTATCATTTAAGTGTATAACAGTATCCAAATTAATTTCTATTCCATGTTGATGCATGACTTCATATTGTTAAATTCTAACGGTGCATTGCATAGATTTATTAGTGGAAGGGTACTTTTGATTGTGTTATCAAACTCTGCCATATATGAAAATTTACTTCATTGAAGTGATGATCATGTGTTTGGATTATGGCTTCAATTTAAACAGACATTTCATTTCCAGAGCTTGCTCTTTGGTGCTTGCAACATAGGGGAAAAGCAGAGGAATAGTTTTGCAAAATCTCAGGAGATTCATATTACATACAAATACAACTAAAGTTCGAGAAAAGTGGAGCAAGAAAACAGAAAAGAAGAAAGACCTAACAAATACTAGGCCTCCCTAAGAAAGAAAAAAAGTTCATGGTTACTACTAAGTCAAACCATGACTAATTGCCGTTGAGCTTCAATTCTTAGATCTTCCTTCATCTTTCTAATGAAATCTTCAACTTTTCTGTTCAACTCCTCTGTGCTCAACATACAGCATTCTTCTTCTTCTTCTACATTTTCTTCTTCCTCTTCCATGCTCTCTTCAATCAGAAAGTAATCAAATTCTGACCCTTTGTCTTCTTCTTCTTCATCTTCATGACCTACATCCAATAATTCAGTTTCTTCATCTAGCTCCTCCTCTTCTTTCAAAACTAGGCTACTTCCTTTCTCTTGTCCTTCATCTACCAAAATTATCTTCTCAATGTCTTCTTGCACTTCTTCAGCACAGGTTTCTATTTCTATTACTTGTTCTGCTGCAATGTTCTGTTCATCATGCTCACTACTTTTCTCCTCGGTTTCTACTATCTCTAACATTAGCTCGTTGGTTTCAATAACTGAGAAGTGAGACTGTGAATGTGAACCATCTTTAATATACGTAGAAGTCTTTTCATCACAATTAGACCCTGAGAGAGATCTAGTTATGCCAACAAAAACAAGGAGACCATTGCAAAGGAGAAACATGCAGTTTTTGTCTATGTTGTGGGTGTAGAGTTGGAAAGGGAATGTTGAGAAATAGAATTTGATGTAATGGAAGAAAAGAAGGAAGGAAGAAGGCGAGAAGATGAAGGAACAAAGGGATACTGAAACGAATAATTGTGTAAGCTTCACTAGATAGTTATGAGCTTTTATGTTGTGAGTCAAGGTTTCTACATTTTGGTTTTTGAGTTGATCCATAGTGATGAAGAAAGGAAATGATACTAGAGAGGGTTGGTAGCAGAGGTTTTTATGAGATTGGGTGGTTGGTGTGTGAGTGAGGGAGTGAGGACTCCTTATATAGAATGATGGGGTGGTCCTTTTATATTTTGGTTTTCCAAAAGTGCCCATGGATGGCAAATTAATGAATTATTGTGAGGCTGAAAATTATTGAGAGGGGGGTGGGGGGGTCTCTAACCTTATGTATATTAAAAATTTATATACATATCATATAGTATTTGAGTAGATAGCACTCGATAGTTTTAAACTAATTAATAATTTCTTAGTCCTAACTCGAGGCTCAAGATAGGTATTTGAAGGGTAAGTACTAAGAAGCCAGTTGTGAGAGTGCTGTTTGTAACAGAAATTTCTGTCTTCATGTTCACCAGTTTGAGGTTTACATGTCAAGTGGCATTGTTGAAATTCAAGGAACTTGGTTTGGGAAAGGAGATAGAGAGTGAGAGATAGACTTAAGTTATCCCAACAGAACATAATAATATAAATTATATAAATACACTAATAGCAACCCTAGATACAACAACTAGAAACAAGTTTTGATATTTTTTTCCAACTAAACGACATATTTGGGAATGTGAGGTTCTTGAGCAATGAGATATAAATCTCCTCCTATTCTTTGAAAGAAAAAATATCCCTCCTAAAAAATGTGACTATTAACACTCCATGTTGTGTAACATATTGTTGATAGGATTTTGTCGTTAATTCATCCACGTCCATACACACGATTTGATGATTGAATGTCATTATTCTCTTTGGTAGGGAACTCTTTGCTTCTGTATTGCTCTGTACCTTCTGTCAGAGTCTGCTTCCTTAAATTTCATGTAAAATAAAACAAATTATTATCCTCTCTTTGATTAAATAAATAAAATGAAAAGAAAAAAAGAAAAAAAAATCTAAAAGTCAACTTTTCCCGTCTTTTTTAACTAAATAAAAAATATGTCTGTATTTTCTTTCCCTTTGTTTTCTTTTATTTATCTCACACACTAGCCCATATGTATGCATACTATCATAACTTTGATCATACTCTTGATCGGAAAATTCATTGCATCTATAGAGCTGTTGCAATGTTTCTCTGTATCTCGTTCTTTTTGGGAAAGAGATCCTCCAAGTTTTTTTTAAGGTGATCAAGTGATATGATTTCATCATTATTTCTTTTAAATCTATACTTTATAATATAAATATATTATAATAAAATTTATTCGATGGCTAAGAATCTTGTGGACTTTTAGTAGTAATATTACTGAGATAATACATACTGTTTCCTCAAGTGTCATGAAAAATATATAAAACTATTAATATCTAGGTCCATGGACAAATATTCTTCCATACACTTATCTTGTTGGGCCAATGTTAGGGCCGGTTTATTTTATCATTAAAAAGGATTTTTTTTGTATAATTTTAAAAATTATATAAACATTTTTATAACATATACATAAATTAAAAACACACTACACACACAAATATGTTCCAAAAATTAAATAATAACACACACACACACACACACATATATATATATATATATAATTTTATTACTTACATTCAAATTTATATAAAAATATAAATAAAATTGAGGTACAAATAAATTACCCACTCCTGAAGTGTTTGGTGGATGGGCTTTTTTTTTCTGGTCCACTATTTGTATTTTTATTGGGCGGGCCTTTTTCCTCTGTTGATACGTTCACAAAAAAAAAAGACTAAAAAGAAGAAAAGAGAGAAGAGAATCAGTCAAAAAAGTCCAAAGCAAACACAGCCTGGAATAAGAAATAATGGAATAACTGTTAGCCAAACAGGGCATAGCCGAAACTGCTCGGCGCTTCCGCAAAGCGTGAGAGCAAAACCCTACTTGAACCCTTTCTCTCTCATTCACTGCACGCAACTATGTCGTTGGGAATTCTTCGATCGCGAGCGGTTTCTTTCGCATCGAAGCGATTCCTCTGCACCAATGCGGCTTCCGCTCCTCTTCCCCCTCCTCCCTCCGCCACCTCTCCCAGCCGCTGGAACTTCCTTAAATACGCCGTCGCCGCCGCCCTCACCGGAGGCACTGGCCTCGCCGGTTACGCATCTTACGGTTCGTTTTCTTCTCTTGTTATTCTTCGTGCTCTTCTTCATCCCTATTTTCAGAGTAGCCTTTTAGGTTCGATGGAAAGAATCTAAGTATCTTTTATGTGTCTCGGTTTGTGATTTTCTTTTATTCGGTGCAGCCACTTCGATGTGTTAGGGTTTAGAAGGAAATGGAGAGGTTACTTACTCAGTTGTTATTGAATCGTATTGATCTTGAAATGATGTTAGTTGATGAGACTTTTGTTGGAATGTAATGTGCAGCTTACAGCTTGGAAGAAATAGATGAGAAAACGAGGTCGTTCCGTGAATCGGCCAAGTACACCGCTGGTGATGGAGCCACTGCTCTCGATGTTAGTATTGATTACTTCTTCATCTTTCTTCACATTCAATCTTCTTAACGTTCAAACAGTTTAGTACCCTTGATGGACCTTACTGTTTGGTACTTAGTTTTGGATTCTGCCTGGTTTTGATATGATAATTATGAGATTCTTCAGTTTGATAGATTTCATCAATAGGCCATGACGTTAGTAGGTGACATTGTTCTTGTCCATATTTTGTGCAGAAATTTCAAGGTTTGCTATACTCGACTGCAATGACAGGTGTGTTACCTGAGCTTTGTTCTGTACATCACTTATCCTGTTTAGTGTTGTTTTGTTCCTTTAGGTAGGAAATTTGTGATTTCCTTTCTTCAAGTGATCTTTTGTTCCCCTGGAGTATTGCTGTTATATGAATGGGAATGTATCAGTTTGTCATTTGATGGTTCTATATTTCTTGCTTTGTGATTTTTGGAAGTGCTCTTTATTATGGATAAGCATAAGCTTATTTTTAATTTTATTCAACTGAAAATAATAACATGTAATGGTCCCACGGAGAAAACACTGCTTGCAGGAGTATTAGGTGCAACGCCTGATAAAATTAATGGTCATTTTCAGATAAACATAGGGTCTTCCGGAGTATAGCTATCATAGGTCCCCTACTTTTGCTACAGAAAATAATTGCAAATGGATGAGAACATATAGGCATGTTTTTTATTGCCTTCTTTGGAGGGTATGGCGTAGGAAAGGAACATGAGCAGTAACAAGAACTTGTTGTATTGTTGAGGAAGATCAGTGCAGAAAAATTAACTTTGGATGCATGTTTTTTTTTTTTTTTTGGGGGGGGGGGGGGTTATTGAACTCCCAATTAGTTATATATTTTTATGCCTTTGTCATAAACAACATGCTGATTCATTTGCTTGTAATACTCCCAGTGCCTGCTAAAGCAGTAGAGCTTTATTTGGATGCAAGAAGGCTAATTGAAGAACAAGTTAGGGTAAGTGTGTTCTTTTTAATATGCTGACTTAGGTTTTGACATTTTTCAATTTAAAAAAACACTACTTCCTACCTTTGTTTTAATACTGTGCTCTTGCTTCCTTTTAGAGTTATACTGAACCATACACAGACAAGCTCCTTCCTGATTTGCTACCACAGGAGCAACATGTGTTTACACTTGTTCTTGATCTCAATGAGACATTGATTCACTATATTTGGACGGTAAGATGTCTACTTCAAATTCACCTCTTTTTGCTGGTAGAATTTATGATTGGTGGGGAATGCGTTTTTAAGCGACAAATTTCTTTATGAGAAATGCTAGCAGGCAGCAACATTCCCTTTTCAACTCACTTATCATTATTTATTGAAATTCATGTTGAATGCACTAAATCAGTAGGAGCCGCTGAATAGGGAGTGAGACTAGAATGAATTTCAATCAACAATAAAGAGTGTGTTGCTTGCACAAAAAATGCATTGAGTCTCTTATTGCCATGCTTCTTGCTTGTGGTCCTTAGTCTTTACATACTGTAGAGGTATGACTATATTATTGAATTTTACTTTCTTATGGTATGTAAAGCGAGATACAGGTTGGCAGACTTTTAAAAGACCTGGAGTTGATGCCTTCTTGGAACATTTAGCTCAATTCTATGAAATAGTGGTGTACACAGATGAACAAAATATGGTAATCTGATTCTTCTCTATATTCTGAAGGGATACATGCTCTTATATGTATTCATGTGTTCTTACATTTTTTGATTTGTGCAGTTTGTAGACCCTGTTATAGAAAGACTGGATACCAAGCATTGCATTAGATATAGGCTATCAAGGCCAGCTACTAAGTATCAGGATGGGAAACACTTCAGAGTATGTATTTATGTGCATATATTATTCTCTCAAATTTTGTAAGTAAATTTCAATGGAAAGAGTACAACCAATCACGGCGAATAGCAAGTGCCTTGGAAGTATTATCTATTATCTATAATATAGTTGTGAAGAGTAATATTACTTACACATGAAGAATATAAATAAAAAGACATACAGTTTTACTGTGATACATCAAAGGTGTAGTGTAATAGTGGTGTTTTGGATATTCTTATAATGAGATGTTCTTCCCTTTTCCCATCCTTTGCTTGGCAGGACCTTTCAAAACTAAACAGAAACCCAGCAAAAGTTCTTTATTTAAGTGGCCATGCCTTTGAAAGTTGCCTGCAACCTGAGAACTGTGTCCCTATTAAGGCATGGCAGCAGCAAGATATAGATGACACGGCTCTTCTGGATTTTATACCATTTCTTGAGTGTAAGCATTCCTTGTGATATGTTGAAGAATGGGTTCATGTTTGAATTATTGTTTTTATTTTCACAGTTCACTTTCATGTCACTCCTCGACTGTAAGTTCATTCCCTTGAGAAGTGTTTTTTTATAAGTTAATTGATGTCTGAAACTATTGTGGTGTCTTTTTTATTCTTGTAAAAATTGCATTACCTTCTCCATTTTCTATTTGCAGTTGTTGCCCGTAGTAGTCCACCTGATATAAGACCAGTGCTAGCCTCTTACCAAGGATGTGATATTCCAAGTGAATTCATCAAGCGTTCCAAAGATTATCAGAGGTAACCAAATCTTTAATAAACCTTGAAGATTATATTTTCAGTATTTTTTTCACAAAATTTTGATAATATGAAACAATCAAAAGAGTATAGAATTTTTGTAATTATAATGATAGTTATGTTTTAATTCGGGTATGTTTTTACTAGTTATGAGACTGTAGTGTTGTTTTCAGTTGTTTTTTCAAAAATGACCAAGCTTTTGTTACGGCCATCTTCCTCTACAAAACTTCAAAAACAAGAAACAAAACAGAAACATGGTTGCATTTTTGTAGTTATCACTGAATATATCAGCTAAAATTGAAAACAGAAGGCAAACCTAATGCACCTTGTCTGGTCTAATTGCATTTTAAATTCTTTTTTTTTTTTTTTTTCTTCATATCAAATTTGAGGATATATATTTTTTTTTTCTGTATGCGCGAGTGTGGCACAAAAGGGGCAGTCTGGGAATGGATGCAACTGTTATTATGTTGCTGTTGTATTTCTCTCTCTCTCTCTCTTTTTTCTGATCCATGTATGAGCATGGATTATTTACCACAATGGGAGGATTATGGGAGTGGGATACAGATGAACATGGTTTTTTCTTTTCATAGATATATTATAATTGTTGCCCCCCTGCCCTAGTTTTGACCTTTTAATTTATGGATATGTGCATTGAAGTAGTCTCTACTAGATGTCGCCAGCTTCAAAAGATTCCCATTAAGCGTGAGTGGTTATATTTGTTGGGGTTGTTTATGTATTTCCCCATAACTGTTCAGTCTAGCATGTTATAGAGATTGAGTTCATGTAGGTGATTGAAGGTTTCTTTTGGGTGTATAGTTAGATGCTACGGTGATGATTTATCCTGTCTTGTTCAAATAACATGTTTACTGTGTTTTCAAATGATGCAGGAGAATGCAAGAACAAAAGCATCGTGGTCGATTCTGGAAATGAGATTTGTCAGTTTGATTGGTCAGTTCATCAAAGATTTTGAAGTCACTGCAAGTTGATAAGTAATTACATGAAATAGAAAAAACTAGATTTTGTTTACGCAAGTGTTGCAACCCATGTCTTGAACCATTACTTTTTTTTGCCTATTGTAATTCTGTTGCTGGAAAGCACTTATTAATTTCGGGGGGTGGAGTTCTTTTTCACCTGATAAATGAGTCCTTAATGCCAGATGTTTCTTGCAAGGTGATTTAACCATGGCTTGGATAATTTTGACTATATCAGTTTCTGCACAGATTTACAACTGACATAATAAAAGATTCTACTTTATCGTGTTATAGTTCATTTTATTGGAATTTTCTGATCTGACGCTTGATCTAGGTAGCATATCATATGATTCTTCTTAACATCCAATGTTATACAGTGACTTGTGTATAAATTATATATTATGATTATGATTGTAGAGATACGACTCATGGGGTTTTGAACATTGATAGATCATAGATGAGAAATGTCACCAACAAAATTTGGTTGAATAAATTCGTTTATGGATGACAAGCTAAACCACATCTTGTTAATTTTAACCCAAAAGACTGCCTATAATTTAAAAAAAAAAAAAACGTATTTGTAAAGCCTTATTAGTATTACTTGATTTTAGTTTGAAAATGTCCTTTTTGTAATTTAATTGATATTATACGATAATGAGGTTGAAACTTAATGTATTTATACTTTTTTTAACTATATAATTAGACAAAGTCACTTTTGATTAAAAATGTTGAAAAATAGTTTAAAAGGTCTATGGTTACGTGTCAAACATTATTTAATGCATACATAATTATATATACACTTGTATTAAAATGATATAAGGTTTGTTTATTTTAACTTCAAATACTTCTAAACAAGTGCTTTAAAAAAGTAATTTTTTAAGAAGTTAGGAATTACTTCCAAAAAAAAAAAAAGTAGTTCTGCTTATTTAAAAAAAAAATAGACAAACAAAAAAAAAAAAGGTACTTATTTTTATAAAAAAAATTAAGTGTCTTTAGAGAAAAAAAATTAAACAAACAAATTCATAATTAATAAATTTGTCTGGGTAGTACTAAATTTGATTTCTTCCAATAAAGTCTCAGATTTGAGTATATACTGAATATCAATAATATGATAATATAATTATTTATTGTTGTCAAAATTAGTTGCTTGCGATCTTTACACGGCAAGTGAAAAGGGGGGAAAATTGGTCAATCGATTATAAGCATAATTGTTTGTAACTAGCTTTAATCAGACTGATTTTTATATTTAGTTAATCTATCTAGTAAATTTTTATAGCATTGGGTTTAATTGGACTTTTGTATGAATGTGTTAAGTTGTGATCCCATTGAGATGGTTTTGGGCTTGTTAGGAATCTAAGAAAAAAAAGGTACAAGTTTTATGAAAAAGAGGCCAAATTCAGCCATTTTTCATGGCAAAAATTGCGTTGCAATGCTGAGACGTTATATCGTAACAACATGACCTTTGTTAAGTAATTTGGTCATAATTGAGTCAAATCAGTGCCAAATTTAAGAAGTACATTTTGTGTGTTTAAATAAAAATTACAGGCAATTTAATCATTAGTTTTTAATTTAATATAAAATCATATTTCGGCAATGCTTATAAAAAATGATTTCATTTAAAATTATTTATTAATGAGAAGTGTGCTTTTATATATATATATAGAGAGAGAGAGAGAATTCGCGCTTTTTAGTTGGAGGGCATTTGCATTTAGCAATGTACACCAGTTAAAAGAAAAAACATCAGTTCTTTTATTTTAAGGGTATTATTGTAACTTTAGTTTTTTAAAAATAAAAATTATACCATCCTTATTCAGTCTCAATGTCTCATCAGATTCATTATTTTCAATTTTTCATATCATTAAATCATGTCTAATATACAGTCTTTATTTTCCTCTCTCCACCTTTTTCTTTTCTTCTACCGTAATTTTGTTTTTAGTGCATTCAATCGAAGCAGAGTAGGGTAACCACATAAAATGACAATGATGATGCTTTCATCGGAAGTATTTCTTCATGTATTTAACAAAAGTAAGAGTACGTCAAGATTCACTATGATTCATATTTTTGATACAGATTAATCATCTGGGTTCCTGTGCTATTCACATCACACTTCCGAGATGAAGAGTAAGCATAAAAATTTATCATTTGGGTGATGATATGTAACATAATAGTAGATAAGTTAATAATGAACTGTAATATATCACGTATTTGTTACATCTTAATGCTACAATCTAAGCCACTGCTCTCCATCAATGAAGCTCTCATAAAGGAAAGGCCTTGCTTCCTGATAGCTCAATGATTTTGACCAAGGCACTCTAAATCTTCTATCTGCTCCTTCTCCTTTGCATTCATACTCACCAAACACTGCAGTCCTGAAAATTGAAACACCATCTTAGACATATAATCTTCACTATGAATCCCAGAATGAACTAATAATGTCACATATTTAGAACAGATATTAATATATCATACTTCTTTCTGTCTGGATGATTCCATTCTGACCACCCTTCAGGATTAATAATACCATCCATGTTACATTTGGAGTATATAATTCTTGAGTAGTTCCCCCATGCTCTGCCAAGGTACACACTGCCAGTTCCTCTAATACTGCACCCTACAAAAGAAAAACCTGTGTCTTCTTTCGGTGAATTCCTATGATGTGCTGCTATTGCTCCATAGTTCTCAGCTACTGATTGAAGACGACAATTCTGCTCCATAGTTTTAAAAGTCAGAAATAAATAAACTAGGTCACTAGTATTATTTTAGTAACATAGAAAAAGGCACATCATCTTGTATTACCTCATAGAGTGATTTTGCACTGCCACAGATAAAATCAACTTTTCCTACAATACGACACTTTAAGAAGTAATGTGTTCCTGTGTTGTCCAAGAGAGTGTCCTGTGTTCCCTTGATCCTCACTCGGTAGAACATGGCTCTTGGACTGTTTATTCTCAGTGCCACTGCTTGCATCCCTTTCCCACCAGCCGATGCAATCACTGAGTTCTGCAAACAAAAGATTGGCATGAAACATTGTCCTAATTGAACATGTTTGTGTTGGAGTGGATTTAGTTCAGTTACTTTTACACACATTCACAACCTTTGGATGAAAATTGGACTATCAGAGATTTTGAATGTGTGTTTTAAGTTGATTGATGGAGATAAAACATGAGTCCATTAATCTTAATTGGCTAGTTCTGAATTAGGGAATGTGTGAATGCATTGGAAAGTATGTGTTTATATACCAAAAATTGTGTCCTTACCTCAAAAGTTACCGCAGTTGCACAGAAATAATCTGAATCCACTCCCACTGTTGCTGAATCATAGGTGCCCAATGCTTGGCCATTTGGACCCATGTCTGATGACTTACTGTTCCAAGTAATAACAGTCCTTGCTGTTTGATTTCTTTTGCCTATAAATGATACATAAGGCTTGTTGACAGGAATATACACTTTTTCTCTGAACAAATGGCATATAAACAAATGGTAAACAAACATAAGTCATGTTGTTAATGATAAAAAAGGTAAGGACAAATTTTTGGAAACCAAATAAATGTAAATGTTAGATCAAAAACACCAACCAAACCCAGCTTTGTTACCCCCACAAACATAATTGTATGTTTTCAAAAGGAGAATTAAGGCAATGAATGAAAAAACTGCTTTCGAGTTTTGATTAGAACTGATCAATAATAATGACAAAACGGTGGTGAAAGTAAAAGACAAAATCTAATTGTGAAAAATATGCAATTAATTACTGACCTGTAAATTCCTGGATTAATGTAAATTTTCACCCTGTGTTTGTTATTCTTTGGAATCATATCTACAGCACCTTGAACAGTTTTGGAATGTCCCCCACCATTCTGGTTAACAACAATAACTCGAACATCGTTATGGGACTTTTTAAAGAACAACCTTTGTTCATTCACCTGAAAATCCTCCCAACTAATGTAGTTCCTAACACCACCTTCTGCTGAATCCACCTGAACCCAAATCACGAAAACCAAAACAAAAAAGAACACTACTCTTGAACACAACAACCCCATGATCATCATCATCATGGTGTGGTCACTCAAAGAATGAGAAACTGAGCATGCAAGGGATGTGCTGGAGTTAAACTTAAAAATGTTGTTGTGTTATTATAGGATGAAAGTGAGAAAAAGAAACTCCAATATGAGAACAAAAAGTTCGTGTTATTGATGAAATAGTGAGTAACGGTTTTAGAGATGAAGCGTGTTGTAGCTGATTACAATAAATATGCGAGCGTTATGGTGATACGTATGCTCCAATCCTGATAACCCATGCATGTTGTTGTTATGAAATATAAAGAGACACTAGGGAAATAAACATGGGTTTGTTTTGAGTTTAATATAAGGAAGGTAAAGAAACCTTGTCTACGTGATCAAATCTTGTTTTATCTCTTAGTAGAAACGTTAAAAATATGAGATTGTGGCAATTGCAGTTGAAAGAGTG